TGATTATACATACTTAAGATCAAGATCTACTTTCACTTTGTAACAATTGAGTCCTGGTACGAATGACGCGCGCGTGTCACCGACTGCAAGACATCCACCGCTCGCCGCAAAGTTGGATCTCCTGCACTGCATCCCGACATTGTAGTAACCGATCGTTGTAACCTAAGGCCCGAAAACCCACGTCTTCTCCACGTCTTCACAAGGCAAGAGCTAGACGTAGTGATGGTGCCAAAACAATCGGAAGCTCACCTTTAGCCTTTCAAAAGCTGCTTTTTCCAGGGTTTGACGCTGTGACGGATGAGCGATTTTGATGAGTTCGTACGCTCTTTGCCGCATATTCTTACCCCATAGTTGAGCAATACCGTATTCCGTGACAACGTAATGTACATGAGATCGGGATGTAACAACACCAGCTCCCTGGAAGCTGAAGCTCTTCAAAAGGTTGAACCATGAAGTAATGAAATGGTAGAACTCTAACAAACCTCCTGTATGTAGGGCACAATTTTGCTCTGGCCTTTCTTTGAAATTGACGGAAGGGCGATGATAGGCTTGCCCATGCCGTCGCTGGCTACACTGGCGCCACGAATAAAATCCACCTGGCCACCAAAACCGGACAGAAACCGTTTGCCAACTGAGTCGGCCACCACTGAAGAAACCACATTCGTCGTCCATTACCGGGTAACCCCCTTCGAACCCGTGTCACCTTTTGAAAAAGAACTATCAGGACCTAAAGGCGAACGAGATTATGTGACTGCTGCAATACTCACCCTGACCAGTGAGATCAACCTCGACGGCTGAATTGATCGCAACAACTTTGGGATTCTGTCGGATGATAGCAGGATCGTTGACCCATTGAACATCGCGCAGTTCTATCAAGAGGGTTGTCATCCAAGTAGTCGTACAGCTTCTTGGAACCGTAGACGAACGACGACACCAGCTTTCCCGGGCGCACGTGCTAAAACTTTCTTGCAAGTAGATGTAACTATGATTCGTCAGTCATCCATACCCATTCTCTTGCAAACTTTCTACTATATATGTAGACCTAGTCGGATCGCCCAGCTGTCGCCGGGCGCTCCTCCTTCTGTGACATGGCCCGGCTTCGCCGGGTGGGCGCGGATTTGCTGCGTGCTAAGTTACGGATCGTTGACCAACCACACTGTTCAAAGGAATGTTCTGCATCAGCCAAGAACTGAAAAGCAGCGCCCGTTTTGTCAAGACGCAGAAGCAGCAGCGCCCGCCGCATAAGGAGGAGCGCCGGCGTTAGCGAGCGATCCGACTGGTACGTTCATAACCTACATAGACGGGAATAGAGCAGCCTGTTAGATCAGCCGCTGAAGCATCGTACTGATTCATGCATTCCCCCCCCCTCTTAAAGCGTCTTGCTTTGGAATGCACTCCCGCATTCAGCAGTGGAACGCTTTGAATGGCCCTCACTGAGGTTGTTGATGGAAGATAGTTCTGATAAGAGTGATTGAGTCAAGTTGCTGC